AAGTACAACAATCCAAACAACCCCACTGACCCAATGGATGCCTTCACGCAGCAAGGTGAGAATGGTGCAAGAAGCTTGTCMATACCACAGCTGCATTCCAGCTCCTGTTCCAATCATCTCCTGCAAAACAAGCCTCTGACAGGCTCCAGCCATCTTGGGCAGTTTCCCTGGTGCAGGCAGGTCRGTGATGATGCCACCTCAGCCACAAACCACATCAGCTGCCTGCGATCCACTGCAAACCAGGACACGCTCCTGCATGGATCACTGGGTGCTCAGGAAAGCTTAAACAGTGTTTGTACTTCCTGGGAATAATCAACATAGACTATTATCTACACTAGAAGACAAAACATGCTACAAAACATTACTTTTTTCAGGCAATCATTGATAAATGATGGTGAAATATAGCAAACAGCCACCCTGTGAAGGAGGAGAATCTTCCACTTGAACCTCCAACCTGCAATTTATCAACACAACACATCCAATGACCATGTTGCATTCCAATCCCTTTCATTTAAATGCTACGGACAATCCCAAAGATGAAATAAATAAGGGAGAGAAAGAAGTATTTATTTATGSTTACAAAAAGCTCTTTGGCTGAAAATCCCATCTCCAAACCCCGAGTTCTCCACAAAACAGATTCTGCACTGCCAGCAACATGACGAATTTCTCCAAAGCCCTTAGAGCATGGCAAGAAAACCACAGGAAGCTGCTCAATAAAAATAAACTTCTTTTCATCTTACACTCTATATATTAATGTCAATTTCTCTTCCACTCCAGCTTTTGCTTCCCTTATTTTCTCCCTCCCAGGGCATAACGTAYTTGATTCATTAGAGCTAATTCATTAAAGCAAATTAATGTGGCATATATTTCTCAGGATCCCTTAGTCAGATTACGATTCTATCATATTCTATCAAAAGCAAACAAAAATGCAAACACTGATCCTAAGCAACTTGAAACCAAGATGCCTGAAAATCTGAAAATGCCTCTAATGAAATTGCAGTCAAAAGAATAAATTCCACTTCAAGGAGGCTGCTACAATTCAAGAATTTAAATAGGTCCAAYCCTGACGCATTTCCAAAGGAAATCCTTGCAGCTCTGCATACTTTGGAGAGCTTAATTTACCCAGAKAAATGGGTGAACCACCACTGCTCAGCCACTGGGTGACTGCGGCCTGCAAGTTTTTGCTTCAAAAGCAGCAAACTAACACAGTATTTAAGCACACACACAGCATTTCCCTTTCCTGATGATAAGCTGGCACGAGGCAAACATTAGCAAGGAGAATTAGATTATTTCACGCCAGTCTGAGACGATGTACCAAATTTACAGCATTTTCTTCTAAGCTTTACCGCAGCACAGACAGCTCAGCAACAACGTTTCACAGTGCACAAAAATTAACACCCCAGTAAAAACAAACCTAGAAAAGAGAAAACCTTTGGCTTTCCCTCTTAGGTGAGACAGGATGGCCTTCACCTTGCTCCCCAGGGAACACCGGCTCCATCAGTGCCCACACTCCACTAATAAACTCAAGGCTTTGTGTCACTGGTGTGGATCAGTCAGGTATTGATACAGCACAAAAGCAGGAGCGAGGTGCTATCAGGGAATCCGTTGTCCCTGTTCGGTCCAGTTGCATTCTGTATCYCCACAATTACCTGACCGGAATTCTTAATTTGATAGCCAGAAGACACTGCACGAATAAACAGAAATATGCTGCCTTTGCAAGTTTCACGTAATAAAGGCTGGATTTGCTTCCCGCTGCTGGTACGTCATTCATTAAGCACCTCATCAGCCGAGCGGCTAGTAATTATTTCGTTAAAAATTAAGCAGGATAATGTAAGGAAAGCGAAGGGAAAATCACCCCGGCTTCTGGAGCGAGCCAGGGTGATTCACGGCTCCCACACACACAGATGACTTTCATTTGAAATTCACCTTCCCAGGCCTTTTGTTCGGGGTTTTTTTCCCCCTGCTCCGAGGTGTGGGGGGGTGCGCGGGCCCCGCACCGCCACCGGGGATCAGTGAGGGGGGTTCCCGGGGCGGGGGGTTCCCGGGGCGGGGATGCTCGGCGGACGATGCCCCCGGGCAGGGAGATGCCGGTGGGCAGGAAGATACCGGCGG